TCTTGTGCCTGTTCGTCTTTACTTTCTGGTTCGTAATCCAATGATGGTAATAAGCCTGTATGAGTTGTTGTTACCTTATTTTCTGGGTCAGTACCCATTTATCCTCTTCCTGTGTATGTCGTTTCTCATTTCTGTACTCATTTATCTTGATAGGCTGGGGGATCGTGAAAATGGTGATTAACTTTATTCTGAAATCTTCGTTCTTTATGCTCAATGACATATTTTTTCTAGTTAAACTGGTTCTTATTGACTTCTTTTTCCAATGCATTTAGGTGGGATATCTCAGGGGGAGCTCTCAATTCCACCAAGAGGTTTGCTTTTAGTCACGCATGAACCCAGTTCTGTCAATGTTACACCAGGTCCTCATATAAGAGGGAGTACTCTGAGAGCCATGTCCGTTGGTGACCAGGAGGTTGATCTTCTTTTGCCTGGTACTGGAAGGTAATCTCATCTGCTTCTTATCCTTTATTTAGGACCGACATGGATACTTTTCCGTCATTATGCATTAATCACTAGTCTTCTCAAAATTAGGGGAGTGTCACAGCCCATCTAACTAAAACACGATTTTGAAGTAATAGGATTTTGTGAGAGGCGCTGTAATAGATAAACGAATGAGAGGACCCAAACAGATTCAGGAAACTGAGGAACCATTATCATGTTATTTGCTTTCCAGCATGAATTCACCCAATGTCTTAACAGCTTTTAGTTTTCTTTTTTTTTTTCAGATTAAGGGTACAATTAGGTGTAAACATGCCAGCCCAAGCAAACCAAAAAGTGATGCAGGATGAGGCAGCTTCAGTCCAAGTTGAACTCTTTGAGGTATATGATGTTGTTCTATATCTCGGAATAATCGATATACTGCAAGAGTACAACATGAAAAAGAAACTGGAGCACACCTACAAATCGTTGAAATTTGATCCCATGTCAATCTCTGCAATTGAACCCAAGATTTATTCGAAACGTTTCCTCAGTTTCTTGGAGAAAGTGTTCCCTGTTGAACCATGAAAAGTCTTTAATATTTATCTTGCAAATATTTTCCCTCTGTCCAGCTGGATGGAAAAAAAAAGAAGACCTTTTCATGATTCATTGAAGAGCAATTTTATCACCACTCGAGTGTTCCATTGTTAATGTACCATTTAGTTTATTTGTACAGTTGACTCAATACAACAGTTTTGTAGCCGAAAGGATATCTCCAGTTTTAATTTATCTTAAAGATATTTGGTTTAAGCTTTTTATTTCATTTCTTCTTTGACCTTACTCAATTTCTTTAAAATTATATTCATTTTTTCTCTTCTTTTTTTAACTGAAAGATGTCGAGACGCCGACAAATAAGGTGAACCAATGACCAAAGTTTCAAAACTTAACAAGATCACTAGACATTATTCCAAATTTTATCATTATTTGATTTGGTAGTAGTTATGCGTGACGCCTACATGTGACAATATCTCCTCTTCTTGGCCACATTGAAAATTTGGCACTCTTTACATTTGGTAGCTGTTAATAAGATTTAACTTTCTTTATTATATCTTTATTTATAAACATGTCATGCCATACGGAAGATTACAAAATCTTCGGTGTGCTTTTATAGGCTCATGTGGTGGTGTTCTTTTCTTAAACTTTTGTATTTAATCTGATACAAAATGGAACAGCTTAGGAATTTAAAAATAAAAATAAAATTAGAAGTTCATGGTTGTAATCTGAATGGATTATAATGAAGTTAAATATTATGTAAAACAAACACATTTTAGAAGTACATATTTCTCAATTCGCTTGATTAGTGGTCATACTTTCGATGGAGGGTAGTAGATTATGTGCTACATATGATTAGACATGGAAAGAAGTAAATTTCTTGAATCATGTCATTATTCGATTCAACAAAACAGTTACTAATATTCATTGTAATTTTACGAGTGAAGTGAAAAAGATATAATTTATTCATATGAATAAATTAATGTTGGTTTCAGAGTTTTGAGTATATATATGGTTGGACATTAGTAAAAAGCATGTTATGTATAGTTGTTCTCAAAAAACCTAAGCGGAATCTTTTTGTGTTTTCAAAAACTCAAAAAGAGAGACTTCTCCTTAAAATATACATCATCATCTTCAATGCTTCCAAATCCAACAACCATATTAAGCCATTAAATTAAGACAGTTACTGATTTTTTTTTCAGTTACACAAACACCCCCACCACATTTCACACACACACAAAATTGTAATTTTTTTAAAAAAATAAAAATATTTCATTCATTCAGACAGAGACATAGTAGTACTTGATCCTCGTAACATGGCAAAAGGCTATTCATAATATTAAAAATAGTGATGCAATAAATAAGTTAAGCATTAAAGCTGATCACGCATTTGGATCAACTTCTATCCATTTATTACCAACGCAGCGCTCTCCACCTTCAGTCAATTCACAAACGCTCCTTTTCCCAACAATATTCAATACTCTCTCCTGTCTGTTCCAAAGTAAGTGTCCTTCTATCAGAAATCACACTATTTTCTTCCGACGATGGAAATACTATTTTTTTACTCGGTGTTCGATACTGTATTGAAATCCGATTATTTAAAATTCGCGTTAGTAGGGTTGCATTTAGGTGTATCTTTTTTATACGTAACATTAAAATATGACCAAGAGCATTCTCATTCACTACACCACGTCCTTTTAGTGGTGAAATGTTTGACATAGAGTATATAGTTGTACCTGATTTCAAGTTAAGTGCAAGTTCACAAAGAATTGATCTTTTATAAAATTCACAAAAATAAGCGTCGTCTTTTAGAAGAAAAATAATTAATACTCTCTCTGTCTTTATTTAGTTGTCCACTTAAGAAGTGACACACATATTAAGGGCACCAATGATTATCATAGGTTAAATGCAGTTTTACCCTTAACTTAAAAAGATTATGTCAACTCCTCAAGTATAATAAATGTATTTTTCTGGTTCCAAAAAACATGCATTATAACTTAGTGGTGGTACTAGAAATTTTCTAGAATTAAATAAGAGCATCTTAGGAAACATATTGTTATCATTTCTTGATTTGTTAAAATGGACAAGTAAATAAGGACAAATATAAAAGAAAATATGGACAAGTAAATAGGAACAGATAGTTTAGAGTTTTTATTGTAGTTGGAAACCATTACTAATATCATTTCTTGTTTTTAATTTCTAAAACGATAATTATTTCTGAATTTACATTGATTTAACATGTTGGTATAAGTAGTTTTGTTGGTATTATTAAAGTAAAGAAAGATGGAGAAATTCCAAATTCTGTGTTTGAACAGATTAGGTTTTTATGTAAAGTTTGTTTGAACAAAAACAAAACATGCCTAGCTAGAGTATAGCCTCCTATAACTCTGTTCTCAGCAGCTACTTGTTTCACTAGCAAACTCTTAAACCTCATACGTAATTTAATCTATTTTTCCTCTCTGACATATATTTTCTATAGATATATACAACACAAACCCATCCATAAACAACAAGTAGAAGAGGTTGAACAAAACAATATATACATACATACCACTCTTTTGTCTTTACAATTTCGAGATTTCAAATGTTTTCATTTTGACCGTAGATTCGGATATAATATGAAATTAAATTGATATAAATGAAAATTACGTAAATATTTCATAGATCACACTAATTAAAAACTAGAAATTTAAAAGACATAAATAAATTTTAGTCAAAGAAAAACGTGGTTGATTTCAAAATTTCTAACTGTTCCATATCCATATTGGGATGAAGTATCATTCAATTTATTTATCGTATTTTCTTTTATTCTGATTCAAAAAAAATAATCCTTTTTTGCCAACTCTTTTAACTCGTAGTTTTGTTTGAAGTCATGATATTGAATTTTTCTTAAATTTCTTTAACTTTATGCGGAGTTTAAAATTAGACAAAATAATTGAAACGAACAGAGTATAAATGTTCAAATCAGATCAAATTGGCAACATCTATTAAGGTTTAAATGCTAGTGTGTAAAAAGAATTTTATACGACCAGATCACTTAATTATACCATAACTATAAGTTATTTTTTATCAGAAAAATTCATTAGTAGTAATAAATTCAAGTTTAATAAACTACCAGAGAAATTTTCTTTTTTATTTTTTTACCAAAGCAAGTCTCTTATAAGGTTAAAAAAAAACTCCCACATATTTAGATTGGTGATATCTTATAGTGAGTTTAAATTCTAGATGCTAGCAGTTTATTTAGAGGGTTTTATACCATAAGGCTTATACAATTAAGTTACTTTTCATGTTAAAACATTATTCGATATTCAGTCATTTCAAAATAAGTATCACTTTAATAAAATTAATAAGAATTTGTCATATTTTTTAAATATTATGGTGATAAATTATATTATTTGACCGTCGAAGTAGTAATGAATTGAAAATGAGGAAATATTAAAATGTAATTTTTAACAAGTTAAAAGTCAAAGTCGATTGATAAACCATGTTATACAAAATAAAATTTAAACTAGATATTTTTAGTCTATATATAAAACAAGATTTACATGACTCATGTGAGCAATACTACATATATATAACAAGAGCAAACAAAAAAAATATATATATGAATACAGTTACAGAGTCACTAATTAGCATCACTGCTGATTACATAAAAAGATCTAATAATTAATTACTAAAAGAGTCCATTTGTCACCATAATTTTTAATTAGCCACAAAAATACATAATCTCTATGTCTAACCCTCCCTGGAAAACAAACAGCACCTTCTTTAACATTAACATCAGTGACTTAATTTCAAGGTAATGAAAATTTAATCTAGTACAAAAAAAAACAATTACAAGGGTATATAATTTTCATGTTTCTTCTTGGAAGAAAAACCCTAGCTTGGTAGAGAAAAATCGACCAAACACACCTGCAAAAAAATAAAAAATCTAGACAACAACCCCATTAACAAGATTAATTTTTTTTTAGGTGAACAAACATTACAAAAACCATAATTAAAAAAAAAGAAAAAAATTACAAGTGTTTTTGTGTAAAAGTAGAATATTGTTTGAGAGGAATGAAGCCTGGTCCGACGCCTTTACTCCCTTTTTACATCTTGTATATATGTGTTTAATTTATTCGTTATCGACATCAATCTTGATAACGAATAACTAAATACATACAATAGAGTAATTGTGTCGAGCCAGACAACATCCCCCTCAAACTCACCACACACATATATAATCATCATACCTAACACTATAAACCCTAACCCTATTTTTTTTTTTGAGAGGCTTTGAGAAAGAAAGAAAAAGAGAGATGTGATGATTAGGTACTCAAAAACCCTACTGAGAAGGAACCCCAAATATGCTAATTTATAGGGGGAGATACAGCCTCATGACACCTCACTTTCCAATTTTTTTAAAAATAAATTTATTGTAGGTAGATTTTATTGCTATACGCTTGTTGGTAGTTCGTGTTTGTAACGCTCCTAATTAACACAAGGAAACTAAATAACTACTACTCATATTTCTACCGATCTATTTTAATTGTCGTGCTTACTAAAATAGTCATGAGTAGTTGTTAGTTTAGAGAATCTAGATATAATTAGTGAAAATTAATATTTTAATATGAAGAAAAAATATGAAAAATAAAATAATATCAAGTTTGACTATAAATAGTTTATTTATTTTTATTTTATTACTTGTTGTAATAAAGGAAATAAATTAATGTGATAAAGAAAAATATAACAAGTAAAATGAATGGAAGAAAATATATAGGTGGGTGTTGGTTCTAATTAATTCATTTGCCACTCTATTTTGTAGAAAACATCACACCTTTTTTTGGCTCTATTTTTTGTATTTTTCTATATACCATTACCCCACCACATTTATTTATCATTATCTTTTGTCACATGAACAATGAAAATAAGAAAATTTTAGTTAGGTGGCTGCAATGTAATAAAATTGGTAAATTCAAACTCAATAATATTGAGAAGTAGGGGTGACAAAAATGAATCCAAATATAGATAATTCGTTTAGAATTTTAAGGATTAAATTTAAAAGAATTTGAATTGAGTTCAATTTCAACCCATTTAAATTTAGCTCATTTGAAGAGAATTTTTAATTGACCTTAATTCAATCTCCAATTTCAACTCGTTTTAAAATTTTTTATTAAGATATATTTCTATATTGAAAACATGAATTATTATCTATTTAACATATTTTAGGATTTATATATTCATTTGTTACTTTTTGTAACAAAAATTTTTGTGGGGAAATTCAAATTGTAATTATTATAAAAATTTAATATTAATATGTTAAATTATTGAGATTAGTCGGGTTAAGTTGGGCGGCTCAAATTGAGCGGATCAAGATCCAACCCCTTTTTAGCCAATTAAACCCAACCCATTTGAGCCCAAAGTAAACTTGGGCGGGTCAAGACCCAACCCGATTTCTATTCAACCCATTTTAATATTTTCAATTTCAACTAACCCGCCCATTTGACATCCCTAGTCAGAGGTAAAGTTTTTAAAATATCGCTGCACGGGTTAATAAAAGAGAGTATTAAATGAAAATAGATACTAATTCATATGAGTAAATAATTTAACATTCAGCCAATTAAGTGCATTATTCTTAAAAGATATATACATAAATACCTAATTTAATACAGAGATCGTGAATTCATGTGGTACCAAAAATAGACCTAAATCTTCCCTTTCAAGATGGATATATAGCATATTTACCATGGGTTCAATCATGTGGTGGAGGTAGAATTATTATGTTAAAAAATGACATTTAGCAGCAATAGTTCAATTGTTGCTTAATATATATTTTTAGTGATAACTATCATTTTTTATATATGTTTCTAAAGTTTATAAAGACATTAAATATAATGACACTTAACTAATAAAGATAAAAATTCCTAAAGAGATACTTAGCTTGGTAAACCTCCTCCACCCCCCATCCCCCCGGTGTTCACTAAGCTCAATAGAACTCATCATTTTCGATGACATAAAGTCAGAGGCGTACTATTCAGAATTTGGAGATCTAGATTCTTATCATTGAAAACAATTAAAATTTTAAAATTATAGATCTAAAATTGAAACGCTTAATTAATTAAAAAGTCAAAAGTGCTATCAATAACCACTTATAAAGGTGTTAACCAATTTTAGAAAGAAAGAAAAAACAACATAGATATAAATTCAAATTTCTAACCTCACTAAAAGGTGCACCTGATCATCGTCAAAATATATAATATTTCGCACATCTATGTTCAACAAAAATTTAAAAATATAACAACTTTAGAAAAGAAGCATAAATTCACGTGAAATCGATTATCCCTCTTATATACGCCTCTACATTAAGTACGCAAGTCCATGTAAAAATTACTAAATTTGTAATAAATAGTTAACTCGTACCCGTTAATTCCTAATTTGCAAAACCTAGGTTCAATAGTAACAATATGAGAGAATGCTGGTTTCAGAATTATAGACTTTGAAATTACTACTATATAATAAATATATATATATAAATGATAAGTTTTCACCAATTTTTTGTTGTATTCCCTTTGTCCGGTATTATTTTTTATTGTTTCTATTTTTAGAGTCAAACAATAAAAATTTTGACTAACATTTTAAGATATACTTTTTCATCACATTAATATGCAAAAAATTGTAATGTATAGTACTTTTCATATAGTTTTAGAATATCTAATTTTTTTGTTTAAAATATCAAATTAATATGATATAATTTACCTTTAAAATTAGTCAAATTAACTTTCGAAAGAATTCTCAAACAGAGAGAGTAAACATTAATTTATTTCGGCAGCTTAATCTCCTGACTCCATAAAACTGTTGTATGAATATGTGCATGAGTCATGACATTGTCATCTTCTGAAATCTAGGCAGGTATTTACATTTTCTATTATCTCAATTTATATTGACAAAATTTATTTCGACTTCAAATTTTTTTTAAAAAAACAAACATTTAAAACTTATATTTTGAAATAAATCAAAAATAGTTTATTATAAATTGTCTTATTTAAGTGTGAAATAAGAGGTTATAAATTGAATAAAATTATTTATTAAAAAATATGCCTTTTTTAGGATGGAATTAAAGCGAATTTCATCGCACAAATTGAGACTCCAAAAATAAATATATAAAGAGTATAAGCTTGTATTCTTTCCCACAAAATTTTGTAGAACGAATCATTTATTTCTCTTTTCCATAATTAACTTCTTAAATAGTCAAAATTAAAGTAAGTCGTTGGGTGATATTTTAGACTGCAACAGATTTTGTTTCAACTCCCTAGACCTCTCTAACAACATTTTTTGTCTCGATCAATATATTTTGATTCGTGATGTAATATCATAAACATATTAATATCACAGACCACGAATAATATGATTATTGTTATAGCTAATAAAATATTATCACCGTCAAAAATAAATTTAATTGTACCCCATTATTTTTTAATAGGGTCACTACTCTCATCGACCCTAAACCTTACAATGAAAGTTTTAGCTATAATACTTCGCATACGCAACAACTTGAAATAAGAATAAAACCCCTTTTTTTTTCTTCTTTTTAATTTAACCCTCCTTCTTTCGGAGCTCTAATTTTATTTTTTTTGTTCTCCCTTCGTAACTTGAACTCACAAGGGAAAAAAATTATCAAATAAATTGTTATTTCACAATGCATCTTTCCCTTCTTCCTTTTAAATATTTTTATTTTTGTTGAATTATTCTAAAAGAAAGACAAAAAAGAAAACAATACTTTTTTTTTTTGGAGAATAGGGAAGCTCAAAATACAATGATATTTCCTTTTCACTATGTAAAAGAAAGCATAACACAATTCTTGAATTAGAAAGTGTCAATACGTAAGCAATTCCACAATAACAAGCAATCTCCATCCTCCAATACATTTTATTTATTTTTTTAATTAATTAATTGAATAAAAAAGGTAAGATTTGTTTTTTTTTTGACTCCCAAGAAAATAAAAATGATTCGGGTTTTGTCAGCGGTAGCGGAGGACCCGGAACTCCAAAATCCAATTAGGATTCTATTAAAACCCATGAAACTAAATCCCAGTCGCAACATTATTGTTCACGCGCCATTACGGTGACCCGGTTTGAGTTGAGTTGACCCGAATCTGAATTAAATACAGGTTGTACCCACACCAACTACCTTTCGCTTAAAATTCAGAGACTAGTTAAAATTAGTGGGTCCCAATGACAAGAAAGGTGGTGGGAAAAAAGAGTAATAATGAGTTAATGATAAGAGGTGTCGCTCTCTTTTTGCCAGACCTTTTTTTTTTTTTTTTTAAAAAATGACAGCTCACTACCCTCAAACTATACATTTAATAACATTTTTGAAATATAATAACTATACTCGGACATTTAAAAATGGTAGAAAATGTATGTGAATTTTACGAATAATTTAGTTGTCGCGACATGATATTCGAATCTAATTTAATTTCATAAGCTAGCTCATGAATGGAGGTTTGTTCGAGTTTTTATAAGGGAATCGATTTTCTATTCATCTATTGATGTGAAACTTTTTAACAATTATTCAAAAACTTTAAATTTTAGTTGAAATGATTATTTTGGAAAGAGATAAAAACCCTATTATGCTAAAGATTTGATCAAATGGAATTTGTATATATAAAACATTTGATTTACTTAACATGCAAACTCCCTTTGACTCGAGTCAAATGTTAGGGTTGGCGGGAGTATTTCCGACAATGGTACTATGCTTCAATCCTAAAATAATAGTGCTTTCTCCGTCTCATTTTATTGATATTTTTCGAATTTCGAAATTCAAATAAGTTTAGTTTTGAACGTAAATTTTTTTTACATCTTTTAGATATTTTGTAATATCATTTGTTGTGACTTATAGTATTTTTACTTAGTTTACAAATATATAGATTTCATTTTAAAAAAATTAAAGATTTCATGCCCAAATTTCTCGTTAAACTTAAATTGTTTAACTCTTGAAAAACGAAAAATATCACATAAATTTAGACCGAGAGATTTGATGTTCTTCTGGAGCTGTTGGCATGTGTGTCTTGGTTGACAAGGCCCATTGTGCTGTCTCACTCCATGAATAAAAAGCTATTTTTATGTTCTAATGATAACTCTATTTTAGCTACTTACATTTCATTATAAAATTAAATAATGTTTGTCTTTGTTTATTGTTAGTAAAATAATAAATGGTGAGGGATTAGACTGTAGTCGTCCTCATTTTAGATTATAATCTTCTTGTTCTCTTTCTCTCATCATATACACTCCAAAGTCGTAAATTTCAGTTATTTATAAAATAAATAAAAATTACGAAAAAGTTTCAAATATTTTAATTTCAAGATCAAATTATGCAAAATTGTTACTCTGTTTAGATTGGGTGCAGTTGCAAATGATTGAAAATATCAATTTCATATTGAAACTTGAAGAGGAAGATGAACAACAAATTTATGTATTTTGATTTTTGTATGTCGGGTGTAAAGTTATATATATGTTCGATATATTAAAGACAGATAACAATGTAATTGTCTATTTTTGTATGTCAATTATATGTTTTACTGGTTGTTGATATCTCTATTTATACTAAAACAGATAATTTCACCCCAAACATTGTACCGCTATGTAAAATATCTCTATTTATTATATTTTAACTCAGCTCTTGTGTTGATTTGGACCAAGTATCATGCAGAGAAATGAATACAGCCTAAAACTCCAAGCCCAACTATTTTTTTGGCAGGGTTGAACACTAGCCCATATATCGATTCAAATCAGCGTACACCTAATCTCTTCGCACAGAACATCTCATATTATCCACAACGCGTCGTACACTATACATTATATTCTTGTTTGTGAAATATCACTGGATATGTTTTCTTCTCATTTCAAATTTTCTGTGTCGCCTCGTATAAAGTAAATAAGGAAAGAAAGAGAACAAACGAAACGCAGACAACTAGCCCAATTGATAACAACAACGATATCACAACTGCTAGTAATGGTTGGCTCTAAATTACATCAGTTGCAAACAGTGCATACGACCAAGGAAATATACTCAGCAAGTACTTAAGATTACACAAAAAATGGAGCAACATAAAGGAAGTATCCAACAAAATGAAAAACCAATTGCCTTCTTTGGTGATCAGCAAGATCATGACCGTGATTCAAATGACAAGGCAAGTCATTTGTCATTTCAAACCCAATGCAAACGACAACTTAGGCCTGGATTTGTTCTTGCCCAACACTTTCATTTGCTTTGCACGCTCTTCCTCCTCTTGTTGTTTTTTCCTCCGCAAAGCCTCTTCTTTCTGTCTCTGGAGCTCTTCCAGTTCTCTATAACGCTGTTCTTCTTTCATTTGCTGCTCCATAGCTTCTCTTCTCTGAGCTTCTTCCACCTTTCGCCTCTTCTCTTCAAGCATTCTTTCCAACTCTTCTTTCTCTTTTCGAGCTTGTTCCTACATGAATAATTAAAAAAGAGAGAATCTTTTCACTGTCGATACTATTTTAATATCAATGAAGAATGTGGCGCCCAAGCAGGACCAGTATAACTTCAAGAAAACTAAAAACCCCAGCCCCTGCCCCCACTTTGTCCTGTGGTGTTTTACTTTATTTTTTTTAATGGGATTATTAGCAGACTGTGTAACCTAATAGCAGGCTCATAATAGATGGAATGAAGAACAATCACAGTAAGTGCACTATTTTCTTTTTAAATAGGATGAACATCTGGACACCATCTCGGAAGCCCAAACATTGCTACATAAACTATTGACTCAGAGAAGATGAAATTTATTATCCAGAGTACAAAAAACATGCTCACAAGTCACAGCTAATATAAAAGAAAAAGACCAAGACATGGGGTAACAGCATATTATTAAGCAAAAATAACTTGCCTCTTTTTGTTTCGACTCAATAAGAGCAGATTCCTTCTCTTTTTCAAGTTGAGCAGCAACTTCATTCACAAGTTTCTTTCTACCATCTTCTAATCGCCTTCGAATTTCAATCATGATCTCCTCCTTGTTCAAGCTTTCATCAACTTTTCTCTTAATTGCATCTTCAACTCTTTTTGCAGTTTCTTCTTCTATTAATCTCAGTTCTGCTTCCTCTTGACGCCTGAGAGAGAAAAAGGAGTAAAAATTAGAGACGGATAAACATTGATTCAGAGAGCACAGACTCCTTTTATGTTCCCCAGATTCGTAAAAAAAGAAAGAACTAACTTGCGAAGTATTGCCCTTTTTCCTCCTTAGTATATAACTAAAGGAACAACACACTGACCTCCATGTTGATATATGCACTAAATATACATGTTAATGCTTTATAGCATACCTCTACCTGAATTCTGTCCAAACAAATGAGAATCAAAACTGGTGAACAGTAGATAAACGAAGCACCCAATTGATCATCAAAATTAATTAGTGGAATATAGCAGTAACTTCCTCCAAATAAGCCTGTGGAGAAGAATGTCAAATAACCTGTAGCAATTTTTAAAGCTAATCACCAAAATACTAGATACTTTACAGCAAAAGTAGAACTTTAAACAGAAAAGTTTCTACTTCTTAAATAGATGACCAAAATTGCCAACATGTCAGCTAAATAGTCAGAAATGGTGACAAAAAGAAGCCTGAGCCCAATGCTTGTGTAACAAGAAACTGTTCAAGATTCAGATTAGAGCATAACAGAACTAAAGAAACTTGTTCAAGCCAACTAGAAATTGACAACAAATTTGAAGCAAATAGCTATCATCCATCTACACTAAATAATGGCCAAATTAAATCTTGTCAAATGTTCCTTATTAACAAGTAAATTCATGATTATGCCGGTCCTATTAACTTTTCGTGACGCTGGGTATGAAAACAACATGTTTTAGCAAATGCATGTAACATCTGTCCTTGCAGTTGCCACATCTGTTGATGTAATGAAGGATAGATAAGACCATTGATGGGCAGCATGGCAGAATAACCAAACAAAGATCAAGGTGTTGTGCCATTCTCTCTTTCTTTATCAGCCTTAAATAATTTAGCAAAAGCTGAACTAAATAAAAGGCATAACTAATTACATGCAGCACTTTGGCTGTTGTTTGTTTTGCTACTTGGTGATCCAGCTGCATTCTTTGCATTATGCTGTTTTATAACATGTACAATAGAAACTTGCAATCCACTTGCAACATAGACAGATTCAAATCCATCAACCCTATAGCCATTTACCTATTATTACAAATAATTTTTTTTTTTGAAACTGGTAACTTTCTATGATTACAAATAATAAGGCAAGAAGAAGAGTGCAATAAAACCCAGATCCATTAGGCATAGCTAGAGAGCTCAGGCAAGCAGCGATAATTGTATATCTTCTTTTTTTGGGGGTATTGTCCATGAAATTCTTTTATTCCGAGAGGAACATAACTACCTTCATGTTGAATTAGAAGGATAAGGAGGTTAGATAAAAATGTAAAGCATACAAGTGTTACAATATCATGCTACATTAAACAGTAGATGCACGTTACACAACAACAATTCAAGTCTATCACACTCTACAACTATCTGCCACTCAACACTTGCAGACTAGGTTTATTTTAATTTTAGAGCTGAGCTTCCATGAACAATAAAAATCTTCTCATTTTCAGGCAATGGAGTAAAGCGCCAAAATTCCCACCATCCGATCCTACATCTACCTCATCATCAGGCACATCACAAAAATCTTTCAATTAAAGAACTGACATTCTGTTCTGTAGTCTCCAAAGGCCAGTCCATTATAACTAATCAGGAAAAAACTCTCCTGTGGCCTCAGTGTAAACATTTCTACACAAAATTCCCATTTATCCACAATACATTTCAGGAAAACAGTACAGAAACTAGAGATGTCTGCTCAAAAGTTGAAAGAGTGTATAGAAGAAGTTCTAATTCTATAGGTAGATACTCAAAACAACAGCATAGCTTACTATATGATGAGGAAGAGATGGAAAGGAAAAATACAAGACAGAAATAGCTACAGAAAATGAGAAGCTATACAAATACAGCAGTACCTTTTCTTCTCCTCTTCATCAAGTTTATTTTTTTCACTGATACCCTTTTGCTCCTTCGATCCGATACTTGAACCAGGTGATTTACCAATAGGAGACAATGAGGTACTCCTACTTCTCTGTCTCCTATGGTTCCTTGGAGAGCGACTCTTATGACGTCTGGTGGCTGGAGAACGACTTTTGCGGCGCCTAGGGGACAATGAACGACTTCGTTTTCTGAATAAAAATGATTAACATTTAAGCAACAACATATATTGGCACTAGACAACATACACATCCCCAGACATACTAACCAGTCCTCCAAATCAATTAGATACTAAAGCATGTACAGTTACCTCATGAATTGCAAAGAATAAACTCGAGCTCCGTCTTTTATCATAGGAACAGCTAATATCACAATCGAGCAACCAATGGACACTCACCGGCACCCATGACCTGCTTGCTTCCCATGAAGGGAAGCAATTACTTCTTTTAATTTCTCACTGAAGAACATAGGTTTGCACCGGGTATTACATTTAGGTTTCTATTATTACTCTACTCATTAGGATCATGCATATCGTCGGAATTGCAATCCAACCGAGGACGAAAATTTTGCAGCTGAACAGCGCAAGAATCATCTTACAATAAAACATATTACACCGACAACCACAAATTTTTTAACTATGGTGATGACAGGTATTGAAAACTCTTAGTAGCAGCAACAAGTCAATTCGACAAGTACATAACTTGATTTTGTAGATATCCACTAACTCATAAAATAAAAGACTAGTGAATTTTGATGAGCAAATACCAATCTGAACAAAATGAAGTCAATACGGCAGCAGAAGCACGAAACACATCTGCACCCCCAATCTCCCCGCTTTAAAAAAAGAGCTAGATATCCAGTGATGGAAATTGACCAAATGAAATGAAAATTGAGGTATTTTATCAAAAGAAAGGTTAAAGTTCTGAAACTTATTTATCATTCGGCGTAACTTAGTGCTACAGAAATGCACCAGTCACTAAAAATTCCTCTTGAAGTCTTTAAAATACAAGCAAAAATAATCAATCATCAATCCCACCACATCTTAGACCAATGTTGTCACTACGAAATCCTAAATCCTTTTTGATCAACGCAGCAAGTCCATCCAATAAACGGTAGACAAAAACCAACAGTTATCAAGAATCAAACACGTACACATTGCCTGAACAAACTGTAAGTGAATCAGCAAACACATGTGAGCTTAATTAGAATAATAAAACAACAAATCCTTGTACATACAAAAAAAAAACATACAAACCAAAGACATTAACATAAGGAGAAAATCCATATATGTCAAATCCATAAATCAATTTATGCCAATGGGTATCACCTGCTATAAGCATAAGGGGATCTGCTTCTATCTCTCCTGCTTCTTCTGCTATGTCTGCGCACCACAGGCGAGGGTGACCGTGAATATCTCCTCTTATATGCTGGTGACCTCGACCTAGACCTTGAAATATCCCTATCCCTACCTCTACCCATCTCTTCCTCAAATAGTTATATCTAAAAAGCCAGAAATTCACCTGCAATAAGAAGAATCAGAACTCACCTAAACAATTCAAAGACCATTAGACCAACAACAATACAAAGAAGAAGCTTCACAAACCACACCCCCACAACAATTCCGAAAAACAAGCATTAACTTTAGACCAAAACGAAATAATATTAACAAGAATCAAAACCCCATCTGCCCAAACCAAGTTCAAACACATATATAACCTTATACCAAACAAAAAAAAGCTAAAGTATCAAACTTTATCCACTAAAATAATAATCAAATTGAATAAGCTATATATATAGTGAAAATTACCTGCTATAACAAAGAAAGAATGGATCTTTCCCGGAGCATAACGAGAAAATAAACCCTAAAAAGTGGAAGGAAGTGAGATATATTTTGTGGGTCTTTTTCAGGGCCGAATGAATGATTGAACTACACACAAATGGGAGTTTTCTTGTACAAAGCAAATACACAGAAAGATGAGAGATTATGGATGGAGTCGCTTGCAAAGGAAGATGAGCGATGACTATACCCAACGAAAAAGGGCCAAAAAAACGTAAATAGAAAAAGAAGCAATATTGAATCATTAGGGGAAAATAATGGCCAAAAAGAAAAATATTTGCCTAAATCAGACCAATATCTTTTTTCGTTTTTCATTACACATAGGACTCCTCAATATTATATTTAGGGGAATGGACATGGTAAAAAAAAATTTACTATATAGAACACAGAGATGTTAATTAGAAGAAAATTTTGATTATATTTAAAGATTTACTTTAGTTTGATTTTATATAATTTAAACATATTATCTAGAAATTACAATAAAATGGTGAACTCATCAACTTGCGTCAAACACTTTAATTATTATTACGGATCAATGGTTCAAATTGAAACTTTAAAACTCAAAACTCAAACTCGAGCGTCAAGGGCTAAAATGTATCAACACCCCTGAACGATGTTTAATTGAGTATATGCAAATTGATTCAAGCACCACCGTTATAAAAAAAAAATGTATTACGATTCTACCCCTTTTTACACCCACTCCATACAACAAGAAGCTTTCGTGGCTGATTCTTTGAAGCGGGTGGGTGTATGTAGCCTTACCCTTACGTTGTAAAGGTAGAGACGAAAACTACTGTCAATTGGAAAAAAAAATTGTTGAAGATTAATTTGACATGGTAGCAAAGATGTTTACAAATACAAAACATCCAGAGGAAATTCTTCGAACAGGCACAATCTTAGAAAAACAATAAAATTATACACTGGCAAAGATAACACTAGAAGTATGGATAAGATCCTCAAAGTACAGATGTCTTGAATCACACTCTGTGACATCCAAAGTTTCAATTGTACATGACCAAACATCTATGCCAGTTCACAGAAATGCATCCTTCTCAAGCAGCTTTAGGACATCCTGCTGGTTGTTGAGTTTGGCAACATCAATTGGCGTCTTTCCGTCCAAGTTTTGAAGAGTTCTGCATAAACAAAGGAAAAACTTTTACTTCGACTTGCATGTGTTAAGCATATAGTGTTACATCAAATCTAGTATACTGGACGAGAAAATAAATCATAATTAGATATGTGAGGGAAAACCAATATCAGCAGGATTGTAGAAAAGTAAAACATACACAGCGGCTCCATTCTCCAGCAGCAGTGCTACACACTCCTTTCTACCATATCCAGCAGCATAGTGAAGAGCAGTATTCTTGTTCTTGTCCAATGCATCAACCTTTGCCCCAGCTTCAACAAGGAGCTGAGCACACTTCTCCTGAAATTAATAAAATAACCACTTTCGCTCAGAAGAAATTTGATGAAACATTGGCTTTACTTCAACGGTAATATACTCTCAAATAACATTTAATCAACCTTAAACCTCCTATCTCGACAATATGGAAATTTCCTTATACGAGGATGTTGAAACTTTTCATTTCTTTTTTTTCCCCTGATTGATGACTGTTGGTAAAATGATACTGTTATTGTGCCCCTCAATCCATCCCGGAAAAGTATATAATACTTATTGTTAATTAGGTAAAAGTAAACCCGAAGAAGTATAAAATGATTTCCTAGCTCTGAATCTGAAGCAAAAATAGCGCTTACCAAAACAGCTTAATGAAGAAAAGAAACAATGTATCATAGCTCTATACCAAACCCGTGCAATCAAGTGTGGCTACAAACCCCTACAGCTGAAATTCTAAAATTGGCAAAACTGCTGCTGTTCAGACTAAATTGCTAAGGCTAAAACAAGCTAAAAAAAACTATACCATCAAATTAAAAAAAGTTTGATGATAAGATTTCATCCGGGTATATGGACATTTTCAGAATAATAGAAATGGTCTGAATTAAACAAAACGTAAAATATAAAAGAGTTCCGAAACACACAAATTCTGAGGGAGAAATAATTGGTGCTTTTAGAAAGAATTAATTCCTTAAAGAAAGCTTCGAAACTTTGATAGATTCATAAGAAAGCCAAGAAGGATCACCTAGAAAGCTGGAAATATTTAGGTAGCAAGCTGAAACATATGCATACATGAATATACTGAAGGTCCTATATGAACATCATATCGATCAACTTCTTACCTCGCCATATCCACAAGCAAAATGCAATGCTGTCCTTCCTTCTGAATCTTCTTCATCTTTGTCAGCACCAGCAGCTAGTGCTGCCTTCAAGCCCTAAATTCCAATTAAAGAAATTATTTATTTAGATGGACAATACCGTAAGTCTCGAATGTGATCATGGGTATAGTTCAATTTTAAGGTAAAAGAAAATATAGGCATAGGCGTATTGACACAAAATTGCTTTCTGATATAAGAAAAAATTAACAGAATCGTTCATAATAAAAGCAAAAGAAAAATAATGTTTTATTTGCCGAAGTGTAATTCTAATGTTCACATCAAAAGGATCATAAGCATAATTAAGGAACACATCTTGCATGCATGGAGTTGACAGAAGGGTAATCTCAGACTAGAAGGGGAAGGAATTTCAAACAAGTTAAACGGTTTTTGAACAAAATCGCAAAATAGAACTACCACATCCCTACGTTTAAGCCCCAATAGCAAAAGGAAGTTGAATCTAAAAGGCACCTCTGCATCACCAACACTAGCACACTGATGAACAACAGATTCATCTTCATTTGCCTCTTCCGTTTCATCTGGCCCAGGTATTTCAGAAGAGGTAGCACCCTCTCCTCCAGCAGCAAAACCCATTGCTTCACCAATCTTCTTCAGAACATCTTGATCGTTCCAATACCTGAAAAAAGGAAGGAAAAGAAAACCAACCATTACAGTCGTTACGCCTAACAGAAAAGGCAACATACCCCAGAAAAAAGGCTACAGATATCAGCAAAAGTGTCGCAGATTCCCCTCAAGCCAGAAGCTTAGTAAATTAAACTATTACATGTTCATTTATCACCTTACTGTTACAGACAAAAAGTTTCCTGCAATATTACTATTTGTGGCGCTGTGTTCATTTTAGAACTTTAAAATGTGAAAAGGATAAGAATTTTGAATATATTCTGCAAAGGTTGAAATGATGATTAGATTCATTTAAATTAGCTTAGTGAAGTCACATGCTTAATAAAGTATAGGATATCACTTAAGTTCTGGTTGACCAAAAGTGAGAAGGGAATAATTAACTTCACTTAACACAACCTAAATCAGAACAAATAGGAGATATGACCTCATCATTGCAGCTGGTCCTCCGCTCTCTATCTCTTCCAAGATTGGTTTGAGTGATGGGTCTTCTTTAATGCGCGCCATCCGTTCTTCAAGTTGCTCCTTCTGAGCAGGGTTTGACAAACTCTCAAGCATGCCAGACATGGATGGATCCTGAAGTAAAACAAGTAAATAAATCAAGTGCCAATCACTCAAAGAAGAAACATTTCTCGTTAAGAAATCTAGTGGCTCGTACAACATGAGGCAAAAAGATACCTGCATCAATGCATTACCAAGCCGCTCAGCCATGGTCATAAACTGAGGATTTTGCATAACCTGTTGCATTGTAGAGTAGTATTGTTGGCTATCAAAGTTGGGAACACTTTCTTCCACTGCTGCACCTTGAAAGGTCTTCTGAAGCTGCTCTGCCATCTGATTAAATGCAGGGTCTTTTGCAATCTGCTCCGCTAGTTCTTTGATACTTGGGTCCTGCATCAGCCACAACATAAAAGAGATGTGCAGAATAAACCAAAAGACACTATATAAATAATTCAAAGTTTGTTAATCAACAAAAATAAAATGACTAGAAAGGCAGCAAAACTAAAAGTATAATTGATTGCAAGTTGATGGTAATAGAACTTTTTTCTTTTTTGCATAACTAAGATATAATTTTAATAGGTTATCACCAAGTGCGGGAGCTTTGTTTTTGCATCTAAGTAGTTTGTAACCCACATGTACTTTCACATCTCAAATACCATGTATTCAACCAAAATGAAATTAAATATGTAATTATATTTACTATTTAAAATATTTGAACATAACAGAACTTTTATTCTGCATAGAAACGTGTATGTACATTGAGCAGTCCAGACATGGCTGAGAAATCAAAGGGATTTTGGACTCCAGCTCCAGCCGCAGCAGATGCTGTTCTCCCCTCTCCTGATGGTGCTTCCACGGTAGAAGACTCAGGAGATTTTTTACTCTCAGCTGCCCCAGACTTCTCATCTGAAAAAAAGAAAAATTGAACTTTCTTCAAATTGTGTTCCACATAGCAATTACTTTTTCTAGCAGAAAGAACTCGTATCAAGACAACTTTCAAGAGCACTCATGATGCTATAAAAAGTGTCATCTTCGGTAGGAGGTACAAGAAGGTGTAAAGCTCAAAATACCAGCAATGTGATAATTCCAAGTCATGAGAAAATATAAAATAAATAAAATCTAAAAAAAAACAATGTTCCAAAACAACAATAGACAGCAGGCAACCAACATTCAGACAACTACAAGTATTCATTCTGGCATCCTGATCCTGACCCATAGATATACGAAAGTGCACACATGCCTATTATAGTCAACCTCAGTCAGTTTGGACTGAGG